ATATAAGGCTTTCTGCTCCTGCAAAGATTAAAGCCTTGGAAATCCTATACAGCATCACTATGAGTCAGAACCAACTCAATGGCACTTAACAACAACATAGAAAGAACTAGAAAAATACCCTAGAGTCTTGTTTCCAAGTTAAAATTTACAACCACTAAGTTGTGGGGGACTATTCACTGTTGTGGTTGTTAGGTGCCATCCAGTCAATTCCAACTCATAGCAACCCTACACATAACAGAATGAAACACTGCCCAATCCTGTACCATGCTCACAATTGTTGTTACGCTTGAGCCCATTGCTGCTGCCACTGTGCCAATCTATCTCATTGGGGGTCTTCCTCTTTTTCACTGACCCTCCACTGATACAGTATAATTGTACTGGATGATTTGGAAGTTGTCTCTGAAACCTTCTTGAAGGGGGTATTCAGGTTTACAAAGAAAGCTTCCGGTGACAGAGGCGTGTTCTTTTGTGAACGTGTGTGGGAGCAGTAGGAGTCACTTGTACACATGAAATAGAAAATGAACCTGAAGCAGAAGTCTGCAGAACACAGAGCTGCCAATGTCTCTGAAGACAAGGAAATTGTTAGACATGAATGACACTGAGCAACAATTTTCTTACACTAATTTAAATACTTTTTAAAATGAGCTAATACTGTTGTCCTAGCTCAGTGGTTGCCTTTTGCTAGGAATGGCTGAACCTATTGCTATATTCTACTAAGTTGATTAATAAAAAATATTTATTACACAAATCCTTTTTGTTGACAAGTTAAAATGGAGCCTCATCTTTCATATCTCCCAGAAGATTGCCACCTTGTGAGATTGAAAATACTCATTAAATTCCATCACCAGACAGGCACAGATGAGAGGGTGATTGTTTTTAAGCATGTGAGGGGAATCGTTGGTAAACTCATTTGTTTGGATATCATTAACAGAACAATCGGCGAAGATCTCCAGGGGGTCCTCATGACCTTTGCTCGCAATCTCTTCATCATCCATCAAGAAATATCATCACCTAATATGCAAGGCGAGACCAATTTTAAGGTGAGGTGTTAATTAACTAACGATCCTGGTTAATTTCTATACAAGGGCTGAAAATACCTCATGCTGTATTGTAAACAAGTGCTAAACCATCTTTTTCTATTGTAAGAAGTACATATTTTACACTGTGCAGGGTCAATATTGTAAGGTTCCCACTGAACCCGTTAGTTAAATTTAATAGTTTGAAACTTTTTCTTTGAAATAAAGTAGACTTGCTTTAACTTGCTGCCATTTCCAAACCCAAGCTGACAAGACAACAGAGCTTTCCGATGTTGCAGGAAGCAGACACACCACCATGGAACCAAAATAGAGACTGTCACAACCAAAACCCATGAATGCAATCTACTCATATTTCAGATATACAGTGTATACTTCCTACAGAGTCCTCGTTGCTGAGACCCAAGATGGACAATCTATGGTAAGGAGAAGGAGGAGAAAACCCTGGGGCAGATGGTTCATCACTAGCCTTTGGAAGCTTCCAGGTGGCCTTTAAGAGCTGCTGGCCAGTGAGATACAGTTGTCTGAGAACAGAAGCAAGGTCTGTACCAGAGATTTTGAAATAACAACAGAACAGAGATGTATAGCTGTTAATGACCATTAAACTCTGCATCTGAGTCCTACTCTAGACCTGACTTTGAATGGGTCAAGTAACTCAGAGGACTCAACCGGAAACCACAGGTGATTTTTGTCTTAAATGAAAAAGTCCAACAAAAATCTGATACAAATACAATTTTTGAATTTTTTTCTTGTGTCAGGGCCTGATCCCTTAACACTAATAATGATGATGCTTTACTCTTTGAACTGATTTTTATAAATTGAAGAATGACCATTGCTTTTTCCACAACATGATTGAGAAATTAATTTTCAAATGGACACAGTGTTGTATCAACTTCCACTGGCCCTAAAGGACCTGTGTTCACCATTTATATTCAAAGTCCCTGCCAGCTAGCATCGTTTAATCACTTACTGCCATGTGTACAATTTTAAGCGTCTCTGCATGGAATCAGTTCAGACTATGCAAATACAGCTAGTATTCAAATAAGACAGTTTATCCCAGTGTCCATGAAGACTAAGCAGAATCTGAGCTTGGACATGGGTTGGCAGGACCAATCATCCTTGATAAAATACAGGCTGTTTCTCTGTCCTTTGTCTGACTTTCAAAAGCATCAAAAGCCAGATGTTCTCAGGTGGTTTTTAAATAACTCATGGGTTCTAGCCTTCTTAGGTGGATCCTTGTGGTTCTAACATTCTTAGATGGATCATTGTTATCTTGACTTTCATTCTTGCTGGGAGGTATATCAAATTGAAAATGTAAGTATCTATAATAATAAGGAGCTCTGGTAGCGTAGTGGTTACAAATCGGGCTGCGAACCGCAAGGTCAGCAGTTCAAAACTACCAGTTGTTCCATGGGAGAAATATAAGGCATTCTGCTCCTGTAAAGATTTACAGCCTCAGAAACCCTGTGCAGGGTCGCTATGAGTTGGAACCGACTCCACAGCACACAGCCATAATATTGGAATAATAATAACTTGAGAAGTGAAATAGTTTTATCTTTGGTAGTATTTCTGTCTAACTAATGGATTCCTGGTGTGGTGCTGTAGGATCAGAACTGGACTTCAAACCACAAGGTGGGCAGTTCAAACCCACCACCTGCCCCTCAGAAACCTTATACAGAGTCACTATGAGTCAAAACCAACTCTATAGACTTAACAATAACAATGGCATTTTAATAGGTATTTTCATTTTTCAAACAAGAATTTCTCAGCAAAGTTAAGACTGGATTTCAAATGGAAAGATGACACAGAAAAAGAATTTGGCAAAATCCAACATTCTTTTGTGATAAAGACACTCAATAAACTAGGAAAAGAAGGGAACTTTCTCAACTTGAAAAGGGTATCTACAAAAAAAAAACCCACAACTAATATCATGCTTAATGGTACAAGACTGAAACATTTCCCTCTAAGATCAAAGATATCTGTTCTAGCCACTTCTATTCAACCTTGTGCTCTAGCTAGGGTAATTAGACCAGAAAAGGACTCATCAGCCACTCCTTGGAAACTCTATGCAGGGTCAGGATGAGTCAGAGCTGACTCAATGGCATTTAACACCAATAGATTAGAAAGGAAGTAAAACTATCTTGATTAGTAGATGATACAATTTTATATATTGAAAATCCTAAAACATCAATACAAATATATTCATATATAAGTTCAGCAAGGTTGCAGGTCACAAGATCAATATCCAAAAATTAATTGTATTGTTATACACTAATAATGAACAGGAGTCCTGGTGTGGCACTGAACTGCTAACCACAAAGTCAGCTGTTCAAACCTAAAAGCAGTTCCTTGGAAACCCTATAAAGGGTTTTTGATTAGTTGGAACCAACTCCATGGCACTTAGCAACAACAAAAACAATAATAAACAAACCAGAAATGAAATTAAGAAACCAATTCCATTTATAGTAGCTTCCAAAAGAATAAATTACTTAGGACTGAATTTAACAAAAGAAATATAAGGCTTGTACACTGGAAACTAGAGAACATTATTAAAATAAACTTTAAAAGACTTAAAATAAGTGGAAGACACCTATGTCCATGGATAGAAAACTTAATATTGTTAAGATGACAATAATATCCAAAGTGATCAAACATTCAATGCAATCCCTATTAAAATCCCTGAGGCCTTATTTGTAGAAGTTAAACAACCAATCTCTAAAGCTATATGGAATTGCAAAGGGCCCCAAATAGTCAAAAACCACGTTGAAAAAGAAGAACAAAGTTGGATCATTAACACTTCTTTTTTATTTTTTAATGTTTTATTGTGAATTATGTGACGCATTAACACTTCTTGATTTCAAAACTTACTACAAAGTTATAGTAACAAAGTCTGTGATAATGGCATAAGAATAGACATACAGATCAATAGAATTGAACTGAACATCTACATTTATAGACAGTTGATTTTTCATAAGGGTGACCATTCAATGGGGTGAAGAATAGACTTTTTAACAAACGGTGTTGGTACAACTGATCATCCACTTGTAAAAGAATGAAGTTAGAGCCCTGCCTCACACCACGCATAAAAATGGACTCGAAATGGATCACAGGCTACCATGTAAGAACTACAACTATTAAACTCTCAAAAAAATAGCTATAAATCATCATTATTTTGGATTAAGCAATGGTTTATTAGATAGATACCTAAACCGCAAGCAACCAAATAAAATATAGACAAGATAGATAACAAAATTAAAAATATTTATGAATCAAATGACACTATCAAGAAAGTAAAACAACAACCTACAAAATGGGAGAAATTATTTGCAAATCATATATCTGATAAGGATTTCGTTTCCAGGATATATAAAGCACTCTTTCAACAATAAAAGGACAAGGTCCTGGTGGCGGGCAGGGGGCTCCACGGCAGCACAGAGGAGCCAGAGCTGCTCCTGAAAGAGGCTGCAGATGGAAATGAGCTCTGGACTCCTGGCTGCCAGCACCGTAACTGGGAAACCAGACTAAAACAAAACTGCTAGCTCTGTGGCAAGACATCTCTGGAATAGTGATGGTGTGGGATGGTCTGTGGTCCACAAGAGCCCCTAGAGGTGGAGTTATGACAGCCCAGATGTCTGTGTGGTGCAGGCAGCGTTCATGCCTCTGAAGACATTCACACAGGAGCAGCAGCAGGGCGATGGGTTGGAGAAAACCTAGTCTGAGCCCCAATCTCCCAACTCATCCAATGACTCCTGAAAGATAAGACCCTCATATGTGGGGAGCTCATAGAAAGGACCAGAAACTAAACAATAAAAGGACAAACAACCCAATGAGCAAAATACCTGAATAGATATTTCTTCAAAGAAGATATTTGAATGTCCAATAAGTACATGAAGAAATGCCCAGTATCAGTAATCATTAAGGACATGTAAATCAAAACTACAATGAAATGTAATTTCTTGTGTGCCTCCAAGCCAACTCCAACTCTGGTAGCGTAGTGGTTATGAGACAGGCTGCCAACCACAAGGTCTGCAGTTCGAAACCACCAGCTGGTCCGCGGGAGAAAGATGAGGCTTTCTGCTTCCGTAAAGATTTACAGCCTCCGAAACCCTGCACAGGGTCAGTATGTCGGAACCGACTCCACGATACTTATCAACAATGGGACAGGATAGAACTGTCCAATGGGGTTTCCTAGGCTGAAATATTTATTGGAGCAGATTTCTGGGTCTATTCTGCCAAGGAGCTCTGGTAGCGTAGTGGTTACGAATCGGTCTGCGAACCTTAAGGCCAGCAGTTTGAAACTACCAGCTGCTCCGCTGGAGAAAGATGAGGCGTTCTGCTCCGGTAACGATTTACAGCCTCGGAAACCCTGGACAGGGTCGCTATGGGCAGATCCGACTCGATGGCACTTAACAACAACAACAACAACATTCTGCTATGGAGCTTGAACCACTGATCTTTTAAAAGGCAGCTAAGCACTTAACCATCGCACCACCAAGGTTCCTGAAATACTACTTCTTGTTGTTGTTAAGTGCCGTTGAGTCTGCTCGACCCATAGCAACCATGTATAGGGTTTCCCAGGAGTGACTGGTGAGCTTGAACTGCTGGCCTTGCAGTTCAAACGGCTTCGCAATCTGGCGCATTAATCCACAGCGCCACACCATAACACCGAAGTACTACTTAACACCTACAAAATGGCTACTGTCAAAAAGATAGACAATGACAAGTGTTGACAAAGATATGGAGAAACTGAAACCCTCATACATTGCTAGTGAAAATGTAAATGGTGTAAACAGGTGTGTGAAAGCTTGGCCATTCTTCAAAAAGTTAAACATAAGATTTAACGTTCCACTCCCTCCTGCCATTGAGTAGATCCCAACTCACAGTGAACCGCTCCAGGGTTTCCGAAACTGCATAGCCTCCTCTTTCTTCCAAAGAGCAACTGATGAGTTTGAACCGCTAAAGAGCAGCAGCACACCCAGAAAACTTAAACAAATGTTCACACAAGCATTATTCATAGGAGCTTTATTCATAATAGCCCCAAAGTGGTAAACAACTCAAATGGCCATCAACTGATGAATGCATAGCTAAATACAGTATATCCATACAAAGGAGTATTGTTCCACCATACAAAGGAATCAAGTTCTGACACATGGATTGACTTTGAAAACTTTATGCTAAATTAAATAAACCAGATGCAAATGGCTACATAGTATATGATTCCGTTTATAGGAACTGTCCAGGCAAATCCATACAGAAAGTAGATGACTGATTACGAGGGGCTGGAGGGGAGGAGAGGATGAAGAATAACTGCTAATGGGAACATTGCTCCTTTGAGGGGTGATGAAAATATTCTGGAATTATATAGTGGTGATGGTTGCCTATGAATATACTAGAAACCACTTAGTTGTATATTTTACAAGGGTGAATTTTATAGTATGTAAATGATACTTCAACAAATAATATATAAAATAGAAAGGTACCATTTTTCTTTCCACAAATTAAGGGAAATAAGTCCTCCTACCAACCCTCTGGTAGCGTAGTGGTTACGAATCGGGCTGCGAACCTTAAGGTCAGCGGTTCGAAACTACCAGCCACTCCGCGGGAGAAAGATGAGGCTTTCTACTCCCATAAAGATTTACACCCTCGGAAACCCTGTACAGGGTCGCTATGGGTCGGAACCCACTCGACGGCACTTAACAACAACAACAACACAACAACCAACCCTCGCTACAGCAGTGCTTCTCAAATTACCTATCGTGAAGGACTGGTTTGTTTGTTTGCCTCGAAAAAACCCAAAGGCCTACAAAATAAAAGTCCAGTTTTAAAAATCATTATTTGATTCAACACACATAAAAATTGCTGTGAATTTTTCCAATTTCTTACTCTCAGTCTTTTTACTGATTTCATCAAGCTGGTAGCCAACCATTTATAGACTGGTACCAGTTGGAGCCACCCACTTGGAGTGGAACTAACTGCCGCAGAGGATTCTAAGTCTATGACCTTTCAGAAGTAGACAGCCACACCTGTCTCCACGGTGCCACTGGGTTGATTGGAACCAACAACTTTTCAGCAGTAATCCAGTGCTTAACTATTTGTGCCACCTAGGGACTCCCATGGGTGGCACTGTAGGATAAGCACTGGACTGCTGTTCAAATAAAGTCAGCAGTCTAAACCCACCATCTGCCCTCGGAAACCCTATATGAGGTCATTGAGTCGGAAAAATTCGAAGGCACTTAACAACAACAACAGGTCAACAGCTCAAACTCACTAGCTGCTCCTCAGAAACCCTGTACAGGGTCCCTATGAGTTGGAGCCGACTTGATGGCACTTCACAACAACAAACTAGTTCTGGGAGTCCCTGTTGTTATTGTGCACTGGCACAGCTGGTGGGTTTTTGAACCGCCAACCTTGTGGTTCAAACCAACCTTATGGTTGAGTGCTTATCCTACAGCACCACACCAGAACTGCTGACCTAGACCATACTTAATTCCAAAAAGGAGCAAAGACTTGGGGCTGGGGGATGTTGTAAGAGGTCCTAAGTAATGAATATTAATTTTATTACTTATTTGCAGACCATCATTGAAGATGTTGAAACCATTCTGGGAGTAACAGAAGAAAACAAAATAGGATTTGAAGAAGAGCAACAGTCTAAAGATAATAAAAATCTCTCTAAGCCTGAAGATAAATGATCCTGGAACACATTATCGATTTTGGATCCCAGTGTGGAGCAAAAAGAAGCAACCATCATTTTTTGCTGCTAACATAAAAAGGGAGAAAACTTAGTTTGCTTCGTTTTGTTTACCAGGAGGTAAATCAGAACTTGGCAAGGTTATAATGTAATGCTTTTTTTTATTACTGTTTATTAAGTCATCTTCTTTTACTTATTAAATCGAAGCTGCTAGTGTATTCTTTGGAGAGTGTTGAACAATTATTTTCTTTTCCTCAAGGTGGGGTTTGAGGAGGGCTGGGATGGGACTGATAAATGAATAAAGCTACACAACTCTAACTCCTAATCATTTCTTCATCTACCTCTTGTATAAAGCTTCAGTATTTGAGAACTTTTATTTTTATGTTTGATAAAGTTTTCTCCTGTTTCTGATAGTCATTTATCTTCTGCATTTAAAGGGGAAAAATGAGCAAAGACTTGTTCCTCGCTATTTGGCAAAACACAAATGTATATATTTTCCTCCAAGTATCTTTGTAACATGTATCTGCTAAAAGATAACGATTTCCTTTTCAAACGTTCTGTAATGGAATCATCTCACTCTTTTAATCTGATCCTCTGGTTTACATGTATGTGACATTTTAAAGTTATCCTTTGTCATTCATTATATTTTTGTTGTGCCAAAGCATTATGATTTGTTGCTGCTATTTTTCACAAAGTAAAGCCAACATCTCGTTAACCAGAGCATCAGAATGTGTCTAGGTGGCAGCATCTACTCTTAGTTTAAGATACCGTGTAACTCCAGCACTGTAGCTTGAATATACATTCCTATTCTCTCACTCTCCACGGAATACTGCAGTAGGATTTTTGTAAACTTAATTCAACAGTACCTTTTAAAGAGAAACTTGTGCTGACCAGAACTCTCAGTACCTGTCCAAAAATATTTCTGGAAGCTGTGCAGAAAGGTGAAATATGCAAGTCACCACTGCAAAACCACATAGGTGTTTTAAAGAATGACATTTTTGTCTTTGTGTGGGAGGGAGGGCGCCCCTAACCTATGGAATGCCGATGATTTTTTAACTGTACCTCTCAGCCATAGGCAAAGCATTTCTGAAATAAAATTAAGCCAACATTTTTTGTGTCAGCTTTTGTTTTGCTATAGTTGGAAATACATTAATTAGCCAGGTTTCCTGCCTGTGCTAGGTACAAGGATGACCTCTTTTTCTTGCCAGATCGCTCTAATCCATATGAGGGGCCTATTGTCCAGACACTTGACGGATAGGAAGTGCTACATGCCCATTAGAGTCACGCCTTGATTGAAGCCAGAGTAACATAAGGTCCAGGAGACTCATTAGTTCACTGGCACAATCGTGTCCTGAGAGTAAATGAAACCCTCTGTCTCCTTATGGCTCTCATCTGCTCTGGACTTTAAAAGAAAACTGTCTCTGTTTTGTTCAGCACAGCAGTGGACTCAGTCACATGGGGAGCACCCCATCCGCAGCAGTGCAAAACTGTTCAATCTAGTGGGGAAGTTTTGTATGTGCATTTTGATTAGCACTCCTGGAGCCTCAAGCTGTTGGCAATAGTAAAATGAGTTCCCATTCCGATACCTTTTCTTACCCACATGATTGGTCTCTCAGACAATGCCACTTTCCTACTTTGCATCAATGATTAGCATACACCACAGATTGCTTGTATTATCTAAACACAGGCCTTGTATTCAAATGCAGCTCTCACTAGAAAGGGATTGGAAATAGGGGTTTCTACCTAAAAACTGACAGTTTCAAAATGATAGGATCAAAATTGGTATAATAAAACAATCACTGCAAGTAATTAAGTGGAGGAAGCCAGAGGACCAGATTAAATTAGTGAAAGGTTTTAATTACAGAACATTTGAAAAGGAGTATAGTCAGTCCATTAGCTTTTTAGCACATATATGTTATAAAGGTACTGTGCTATTGGTACACTAAGTTAAGTTTTAAAATATTATTTATGCGTGTACAGTGTCTGAAGTGTCCTAAACATGAATTGTTGTTGTTTAACTGCCACCCACTCAGTTCCGACTCATAACAACCCTGAATAGGTTTTCCAAGGAGGTGCTGGTGGGTTTGAACCATTGACCTTGTGGTAAGCAGTCTAGTGCTTATCCTACAGTGCCTCACCAGGACTCAGTCAAGGTACATTACTGAGCTTTTAATTATTCTAAATGGGAAACTGAAATCTTTGTTGGTAAGAGGATTCTTTGAAAATGATGTGTCATTTTTTTCAGTGAGCTTTTAGGAGAAGCTACGTTTAAGAGCTCTGGTAGCTTAGTGGTTACGAATCAGGCTGCGAACCTCAAGGTCAGCAGTTGTAAACTAACAGCTATTCTACAGGAAAAAGATAAGGCTTTCTGCTCCTGTAAAGATTTACAGTCTTGGAAACCCTATACAGGGTCGCTATGAGTAGGAACCAATTCAATGGCACACCACCACCCCATTTAACAGTAGAATGATCTTTGTGTAAGAAATAACCCTTTGTTTCATATTGACTGCTTGCAACAGTAGGAGAAACAAATTGTAGTAACCATTGAAGAGCACATTTTCAGGTATGATCTTCCTTTATATGTTCCCCATTTTATACTGATTTTGAAGAGCCCACATGAATGATAATATTAAATGTAGTTCCACTGATAATCTGTGCTGTCTATCTACCTACTTACCAACCCTCCACTACCTACTTATATGTGTCCTTTCCTGATCCTTTCTATGGCTAGCTATGGACTTACTAGGTACTTTATCTTCCCAACAACCCCATGTGGGTACACACTACTACTGCTTTCATTTTACATGTGAGAAACAGATTTAGTGAGGGTATCACCCAGAAATTTAGAGCTAAATGAAAAGATACGGGATTTTACTCTTTTATCAGAAATTCGCTATAGGTCGTTGGCACCTAACAACTTTTACTCTTTTATCAGAAATTCGCTATAGGTCGTTGGCACCTAACAACTTTTACTCTTTTATCAGAAATTCGCTATAGGTCGTTGGCACCTAACAACAACAACATCAGAAAGTCTAGCATGCTGTGTAAAGTACAAGGGTTCTGTTCCACTTCCCCTAAATCATAAAAGGAATTTTAACTTTTTTTATAACAAATTCTATCTACTGTGTTGTTTAAGGGACTGAGGAACCATTTAACTTACATACAGCTCCTGCTAGAGAATAATCATAAACAGCTGACAGCATCATATGGCATTATAATTCTGTGTTCAGAGAAAGCAAGAGAACAGAAAGTGGTGTCGGGAAATTCTCCTATGGTGATGGATCGTAAGACTTTGGTGGAAGTTTGATGAGAGTGTTCGTAAGTTGGAACGTCAAACTCCACAATTTGTTTGAGATAGTCATGAGGTCAAGAAACCATGTTGGTTAGAAAAGAACACCCAACAAGAAGTAGAGTAACTGGCACAGCTAGAGCAACAGAAGCTACAACTTCAAAGAAAAATCATCACGAAAAACCCAAACCAAAAATGGCAGTATGATTGGCTACTACAAGAATAAGCAAGTTGTTTGCCGGGAAACCATCAAGGCAGGCAATCAAGTTCCTGCAGGACAAACCCCACTCTAAGACTGAAACTCAAAGGAAACACATGAACAGGCATGTAAGCTTGCTGATTACTACATTGGGCACTGGTGAGTGGAAGAGGGGGAAAGGCAGCAATGAAGAAATGGGCCGAGTTCAACCACATTCCATAGACTCCCATTGACCTGGAGCTGAGAGACAGAAGAGGAAGGGATGGTTGGTCCAAAGTATGGTGAGACCTGGGTACACTTGAGCCCATGGACTAGCACATAGCCACAGAGGGCTAGAGCTGAGAGTGAAGCATTCAGCAGATATGAAGTGAGGGGAGATGCACAAGAACATCCAAACTTGCAGATAGTACCCATTTGACATAGCCTCAATGGCTTGATAACCAGAACTCAAATAGAAGAAGAAGAAAAAAAAACTATTTTTGATAAAGGAAATGAGGGTAAATTGCTACAATATGATTAACTTGACCTATATTCATGGAGGTTGGTTGTAACTCTAAATACCAAGAGAGGGAAGAAGTCTTTACATCAAGTATCTCCCCTCTGTACACAGGATAGATATGGATGGGCAACTTAGACATTGGCTACCCAAAATGAGGAGGCAATAAAGGCACAAATTGACTGGCTTGCAAGATTTCAAGAGTGAGTTTAGTTTAAGAGTGTGTGAGGGAAGATAGAGTCCCCACTGAATAGTTTTCATCTTGTCTAGATGGATCTGGTTAAAAAATATGGGGATAAAATTCTTATGATTCAACAGTGAGTAATTGTTATCATGACTAATTGTGACTGCCACAATTGTAAAGGTAGAAGTTTTGTAACAAAAATGGGGGAGTAATTAGTCTTACAATCCAGAAACAGAGGACACTAGGGCCATCAAAGGAGAAGAGTACAAACATAATGTGAGACCTTATCCAGAGAAGCAGCAACACCAGAGATGGAGACAGAGATGAGGACATTGAGAAAGGGAGCAGCTGAGGACTCTAGATTCATGGAAAGAGAGACAAAGAGCTGGCAGCCAGGAGGCAGACTTACAGAATGTGCCCTTTGGTGGTATAAATTATTATATATACCTGAGTGTTTAAAAAAAAAGAAAAAGAGCTAAAGCGAATAGAGAGAAATACTGTTAACTGATGGTACAGGATTATAATCATTGTCATGAAACAAGGTGTATGATTTGTTGAATGTAAAATTGATGATCTGCCCTGTAAACTTTCACTCAATTCACAATAAAAACTTTAAAAAAAAGAAAAAGATGAAGTAGAGTAACCTGGAAGGAGTTAGGGGAGCATTGTTTCATTTATGCAATCTTAAGTGTTCTGGGATATCCTTCATTCCACATTCTCTTCTGAATCTGACTTGAGTTTCTGGCAGCTCCCTGTCAACGTGTAGTTGCAATCATTTAAAAAATATTTTCCACAAAATTTTACCGGCCTATGAGGCAGTCATTCAAACACAG